GAGGGGTTTGCTGCTTGTGTGGGCTGGCAGCACTGGGGCGGCCGACACAACGGCAAGCGCTCTCAGCTCTGCTCTTTCGGGAGGTTTGGTGTTGCTGGTGCAGGGGTGAAGGGCATCCCCTCAAGCTTTTGATCTGGTACTGTAAGCGACAGCCTAGGGGAGAAGTAAAGTAAAGTTTCCAGCTTCTTGGAAACACTCCGTTTCTGGGCTCTTGTCTGATGTCTGCAAAAACAAGACCCAAGAGGACTGCAGATAACAGTAGGAGGGTGTCGTCTGTGTTTCTCAGTCAATAAGTGTCACAAACGAGCCTTATCTAAGCTCCTGAATGTTTCATATGAAATAGGTAATCACAGGCACCGCGCAAGCGGGCTCCTGGCTACGACATTATGTACCCTGAATGTTCTGAACCAACTTGAAAAATCTCGGTTGTTCTGAATCAAACCTCACTCAGATGACAGAATTCTGAAGAAGTACTCTCAATTGAATCCAGGTTTCAGTCTGGCCTTGAAACTTTGGGTCAAAGGCGTTGTAATCAGCGCGGTGTCTAATGCGTACAAGCAAGGGTTGTGTTCAGCAGCAAGCTCTGTGGAGATGATTTCCCCCTTGAAATGGAGCTTTCTAGCTCCGGGGATCTGCACGTGTCGGGTCTGTGGAAAACTAAGGCCGGTACGATACAGCGGATGTTTCACAAGGACTTTTTACTTTCAGACACATGCACAGCACAAGTATTTTCTGCCTTTCCTTATAACAGAACCTGCCCTGTCTAAGAGAAACCCAGAGTTTCCCTATGACAGTCTAAAATGTTAGCTTGGATACACAGATGGAACTCAGCTGACACACCTCTGAGGAGGTTGTGTGTCTTGATTCAATTGTAGTGTCTTGTCTTTAGCCAAAAGTGGTTAAACATTGGACCAGGCTGCCCAGGGAAGTGGTGGAGTCACCATCCCTGGAAGTATTTAGAAGACGGGTAGATGAGGCGCTTAGGGACATGGTTTAGTGGGCATGGTGGTGTTGGGTTGATGGTTGGACTCGATGATCTTGGAGGTCTCTTCCAACCTTAATGATTCTATGATTCTATAAAAGCTGTTTTCTGCAGAGCCTGAGGGAGGAATAGCAAATGGCATGAGACTGAGGGTACTCTACGATTATTTTTTGTGTGCTCATAAGTTCTCACTGTAGGAATCTGCTCTTGCTAAATATCTGATTTATTCTAGATTTAGATGTCTCAATGGATACGTGGAACTTCTTCTATACTTGCCTGGTGTCCTTATGGCTGCACAGATTTTACATCTATTCTGCTGCTGCTTTTGGGATAAGCATTTGGATCGTCATTCAGTTCACCACCACCAAAACCAAAAAGAAGGTAACTGAACACGTAAGGTCTTTTGTCTGAGAAGACCCCAAAAATCTGTGTGTGGAAGGGAGTAGTTGCCAGGTAAAGGCGTACCCACTGGTGCAGTGAAATGTGCTACTTCACTGTGGGCCCACCTAAGTTGTTGCAAATCCCCAGTGTAGTTTAGTTCATCTGGTAGTTATGACCCTCAGTCTAGATTGTCTTATGTTTGTGGGTAACTAAACGCCCTCGTTGCTCTGATGTCAGAGCAGATCTCAGCTGAACGCTTCTCACTTTGTAACTGAGAGAATGTGTCAGCCTGGGTTGCTCTGTCACTTCCAGTAAATCACTCTGCTTGCGCCCAGTGTCTTCGTGTTTCCAGTGATGCTAATGACAAGGTTGGACTGGTTTTAGGATGGGAGTGGGATCAGGCCATTCGGGAATGTAAAACCTCCTCGTGCGGGTGAGTGAAGTTCTGCTGCAGGAATTGGGAGGTTCTCAGGTTCACCTGGATCCTGTTACCTGTGTGAGACGAGTGTGTTGTAGCATGACCTAGTTCAGATAGTTCAGATAAATAGTTACTCTATTGGTTCTTTAGGTGTGAGAGAAACTAAAATGCTTTTGACTGTCGCATTTGCGTAGTGCTGAGAGTCTG